AATGAGTACCTCCATCACACCCCATTTCCCAGCGGTTTCACCCCCAGTCTTGGAGCACTCTCTCTATGGCTACTTTACTTCTGTCCCCAGATAGGCAGAGTGCTCTCTCTCTCTGTCTCTCTCTCTCTCTCTGTTTTAGACAGGGTCTCACGTTTATCACCCAGGCTGGAACGCAGTGACATGATCACAGCTCACTGCAGCCTCGAACTCCTGGCCTTAAGCAATCCTTCCATCTCAGCCTCCCGAGTGGCTGGGACTACAGGTGTGTACCACCATGCCCTGCTAGTTTTTTAAAAAAAATGTTATAGTGATGGGGTCACACTATGTTGCCCACGCTAATCTCAAACTCTTGGGCTCAAGTGATCCTCCCGCCTCGGCCTCCCAAAATGTTGGGATTACAGGCATGAGCCACCCTGCCTGGCCCAGAGTTCTCTCTAAGTAATTATTTACCTGCTTGGCTACTATCTAACTCCTTTTTTCCCATCCGAGCCTTTTTCCCATCATTTCGTTTTCTGCATAACTAAGTCTCTTCATGACTCACTCCCTCAATCTCACACAAATTACAATGCCTGCACCCCACTGACCTGAAGAGTCTCTTTCCGCAGAAACAACTGCTTCCTGCTCACTAACCCATGGCTTTTCTGGAGCCTGAAGCCTCCAGGACTTCTCCTGAGTCTCTAAGATGGGGTTTCCTCCACCAGTATCTTTGCTTCACTCTCTCTCCTTGCCTGGCTCTTCCTCTTCCTTCCCCTCCACTGTTCCTAAGAACTCAGCTCTGCTCAACCATGTCAAGGCCTCAATGATGCCAACCTGTCTGTCACTCTCAACTGCAGAACTGCGTTTCTATCTCCAGCATCTCGGCCAACCTCCAGCCCTGTACTTCCAACACTGCTCACGAATTATCCCTCAGTCACTCTAGGGTGAGTTTCTGAAGAATCTTCTTTTCCAGCCTGGGCAACATAGTGACACCTCATCCCTAAAAAAATAGAAATAAAAAACTAGCAGGATGCAGTGACTTGTGCTTGTAATCCCAGCTACTCAGGAGGCTGAGCTGGGAGGATCGCTTGAGCCCAAGAGTTAGAGGTTGCAGTGAACTATGATGGTGCCACCGCACCCCAGCCTGGGTGACACGGTGAGACCCTGTCTCTAAAAAACAATAATAATAAAAAACTCAACTTTCCTTCCACAGGTCCCAGGTGACTCAGGCTTCTGGATTCCTCAGAAAAAAACTGAGCAATTCCATGTGAAACAGCCATTCCTCCTTGTTAAGTATAAAAAGAAAGCTCCTTCCTTTGTCTTCATTCATCCACCAATTCTCCAAACTTAGGGGCCGGACACGGTGGCTCACGCTTATAATCCTAGCACTTTAGCAGGCTGAGGCGGGCCAATTGCCTGAGCTCAAGTTCGAGACCAGCCTGGCCAACATGTTGAAACCCTGTCTCTACTAAAAATACAAAAAAAAAATAGCTGGACATGGTGGCACGCACCTGTAGTCCCAGCTACTCGGGAGGCTGAGGAATGAGAATTGCTTGAACCCAGGAGGCAGAGGTTGCAGTGAGCCAAGATCACACCACTGCATCCCAGCCTGGGTGACATGGTAAGACTGTCTCAAAACAGAACAAACAAACAAAAAAGAAACCTTAGGAAGCATTTCTCAGTTGAAAAATAAGGTAAACCATTCAGTCCCATCCCTAAAGATACTGAAAAAGGTCCAGACTGAATTTACTCCTGAAACTAAGGTCAAGATTTTCAAGTTCATCAACTCAGTCTGTCTTTGTTTCTTTTTTTTTTTTTTTTTTGAGACGGAGTCTTGCTCTGTCGCCCGGGCTGGAGTGCAGTGGCCGGATCTCAGCTCACTGCAAGCTCCGCCTCCCGGGTTCACGCCATTCTCCTGCCTCAGCCTCCCGAGTAGCGGGGACTACAGGCGCCCGCCACCTCGCCCGGCTAGTTTTTTGTGTTTTTAGTAGAGACGGGGTTTCACCGTGTTAGCCAGGATGGTCTCCATCTCCTGACCTCGTGATCCGCCCGTCTTGGCCTCCCAAAGTGCTGGGATTACAGGCTTGAGCCACTGCGCCTGGCTGTCTTTGTTTCTTAAACTTCACATTTACAGTACAGTACTTAAAATGTAAAAATGCACTTGAATTGTTTACATGGTTATTACTGAAGAAAAACACCCAGGTCACTTATTTTGGCTTTGTTTAATAAAACAACAGAAACATCTGTCATTTTTTATAACAATTCTGTTGTCCTACTCACTGGGTGGCAAAAATGCACTCCCACTGCCTTGCATTAACCTGCTAATCTGGAGGCGATTCACTCCCCACTGACAACCAAGTTTCACTGAGTTTGGGTCAAATAGAACAATTAAATCATCCTTTGGTTTTCCAAGCAGCTAGAATAATTTGAGAAAATTAAAACAAGCCATCTTATAAACAAAAATGCATTACCTCCCGAAATGAAAAATTCATTTATCTCCAAATCGTCACCAGTAAGTTTTAAGGTTATAGCAAGCCACAACATGCAGTTCTTGTATAAGATGAATAAAATATTCCTGACTAATAACTCAATTCTAATTTTAAACAAATGCATTCAAACGGAGCTGAATACTTAATTTGTATCACTCCCACAAGGTATAAAAGCCTTGCTTGGTTCTGATGTCACTGACTGCTGGCCATAGACGATGAGGTCTCCATCTTACTAAGAGATTAAGGTCGGATGATAGTACCTTCTCTCTCTGACAATGTATCCAACTCAAAGAGACAGCCTAGCTGGGCATTCAATTTCAGCATTTTCCAGTGTACATTAGGAAGTGGGGACCTCATCTAAGTTTCTGTTTTGCTTTGTTTTTGCCAAGCAGGAATTAGCTGAACCCTGTTGGCAGCTCCTCCAGCAGCCCACGTGGGGTAGACCCAGCCACCACTTCCCACAGGACTTCAGGCTCATGTACTGTTCTCTGGAATAAGGTTTCCTGGAGTACAAGTTCCAGTCTGTCCCTTGGTTTGGCCAAAGACAGATCCTCCTACTGACTATTCTCTGCTATAATGACAACTGTGCTCTAAGACAAACAACTTATTCTTAGTGGGAAACAATTAATTTCAGCCATCCCATGTGCTCCTCAACAGCCATTTATTCACATTGGCCCATCTTCCGATATCAGACTGACACAAACCCCAAAGACTTGCCCGATGACAATGGAATGAGTGTCATGTATTTAACGGCATTTGTACTTTATTGCATTGCTTCCTGCTTGTTTGTTTAAGATGGTGAAATCGTTATAAGCAAAGAGATGATTAATTCTTCCCCGTCTTTAACGGCCATTCTCTCCCACAATCTCTAGCGAATCTCCGAATCTAAGTTGCGGGGAGGTATGTTGGGGAACCACACTTTTAAGCAGTGTTCCTGAGGTTTTAGCTCAGACATCTACAAGATTGGAAGATTCCGTTTTATGGGGACATATGGACAGAACTCACTTGTTTTAGAGCACTACTTAGCCAAACCTCTCAGCGAATCCTACATTGAAAAGTCTTTAGCAGTATACATTTTGGAATCTTCTGTGTGCCCCAGAACACACAATATGGATCTAATTAGATTCAGCTGTCTTATGTTAGAAACAAACATTGAAAGGAAAAAACCAGAAGTGGGAGTGGGAGCTTTGTTCATCCTCTCGTACGTCCCCGCGACCCCACACTCCCAAGGCGTGCGCATCCTACCCGCTCACTCGGGCAGCACACGCTCCCTAAACACCCCAGCGTGGCCCGTGCCCCGCGCAGCGCTCTGAGCGCTTTTCCGCTGCTGGGTTTTCACCGGATCTGGAAGAGATTTACAGGAGGACTGGAGCCCAGCGCGGCAACCCCACCCCACCCCCACCGCCCCGGCCCGGGCGCGCCCCGCCCGCTCCCCGGCTCCAGGACTTACACCAGCGCGGACGGACAGGGCATCTGGTTCCAGGCACAGTTGTACTGAGCCTGAATAAAACTCTCACTTCCCTCCAGCACAGAGCAGCTCACATTCTTGTTCACGATGTAGGCGCACCAGTTCCTGGGGTGCAGGAGAGAGAGGGAGAAGGGCACGGTGTAAACCTGGGGAACAATGAGGCCAGGGGAGAGGGGACGGCAGCCCCAGACCGAGCGAGGGTCGGGGGGAGGGCCGTCGCCCTCTGCGGAGGCGGGAGCTTCACAGAGCAGACGCCGGAGGGTGCCCGGGTGCGCCTCTGGAGAGAGCGCGCCTGGACCCGACCAAGACGGGAAAGAAAAGCACTCACGGTCCCAGGGGCTCCTGGAATTCCTGGGAGTCGTTTTCGGACCACCCGGGTCTGCGGGACACTCTGCGCCCACGCCCCCGGAGTCAGCTCTGCCTGAGGCGCCGGCGGCGCAGCGCGCGGTCACCCAGAGAAGGAGCCGCCCGGGGAAATCCAAGGCAGACCCCCGGCTGCAGCTTGTCGTCTTTGGCAGGGCAGCTCCAGGGCTCGACTGGGGGCCGGGGAGGGGTAGGCGGTTTGGGGCCAGCAGAGGGGCGCGCACTTACTTGTTCCTAGCGCTGGGCCGCGCGGGATACCCGGGCTGCGGGCCGGCATGGCACAGCCCCGCGCAGCCCAGGGCGAGCAGCACCAGCGCCCAGCGCCAGGGCGCGCGGGGCCAGGGCTGTGTCGGCTGCCACATCCTGCGCGCAGCGGGCGCTTCCCGCCTGCCCGGGTCCGGAGCGCGGCGGATCGGGGCACCGGCCACAAGGCTGCTGGCGGCCAGGGCGCCGCCCGCGAAGGCAGAAGGCTCAGGCGCTTCGCGGCGCTCCAACCCGCGCTCTGCGGCCGCCCCCTCCGGCTTCTCGTTCCTACTTCTCCTTTTGCAGCCCCGTGCGCCCTGCGCTTCTCCTCGGTCCCTCAATGACGCACAGGTCCCCCCGGGTGCCGCCCTCTTTATTTCACTTCCCTCTCCGAAACGTGACTCTCCCTCCACCACGTCTCCCTGTCTCCAGTCCCTTCGCTTCTCAGCAGGGGGCTTGGGGTGGAAGAACTAAAGGGTTTGGGATAAGGGTCCATGTTACAGAATTTCCAATTACTCATTCCTTTGGTCTCTTCCCAGATGCCGAGCAACTCCGCCTCCCACCTTCCAACAGGCGCGCTCCCGGCCCCTCGGGACACGGCCGCCGTCGGCGAGTCTGGCTGTCCTCGCGTCGTGCCTGGGTGCCAGCCTCCCGGGGCGAATGAGGGACACGTTTATCAGTCCCGCGGGGAGAGGAGTGGGGGCTCGACTCGGATTTCCTCCTCGGGCAAGACACGGCCATTCCCCCACCACCTCCATGGACTTACAGAGTCCAGGGGGAAATGAACGCTGGTTCTCTTCTTTCTTTACCCGTCTCTGCCTTAGGAATCATCTACAGTTTCCGAGTCCACGTGGGGGGCGGCAGGACAGGACAAGTCACAGCCCCACCGATTCCCAGTGTCTGCTGCAGCTTGGCGTCCAGCTCTACAATTCTTGAAAGGTGATCTCACAGCCTCTGCTGCTGAGGTCCTACTGTGAACTTTCTTTTTCTATTGAAACTAAGGCATTTACTCACCTTTGCTTCTCGACAGTTCAGGCACCGCTAGACATCTGTCTTAAACTTTCTTGTATGTTTTCTGCCTATTCTTGAGTTACACTAATCTCCACCAATTTCTTTTTGGGATGAAGTACTGGAATGTTAAAATCACCACCCAAGTGCTATATTCTAAGGGGTGTTGGAAAGAGCTATGTATTTGAGATGACCTGCTGCATCTAATTAATGTACAGGGTCGTGAGTGACATGATTACCAGACTCTACAGATAAACTGTGGCCTCTGTGAGCTAACCAGACGCTGTTGGCCATGACTTGTTAAGTGAATAAAGCTTTGCTGTGGGCCAGGCGGGGTGGCTCACGCCTGTAATCCCAGCACTTTGGGAGGCCAAGGCGAGTGGATCACCTGAGGTCAGGAGTTCAAGACCAGCCTAACCAACATAGTGAAACCCCGTCTCTACTAAAAATACAAAAAAAAAAAAAAAAAAAAAAAAAAAAAATTAGCCGGGCATTGGTGGCACATGCCTGTAATCCTAGCTACTTGGGAGACTGAGGCAGGAGAATCGCTTGAACCAGGGAGATGGAGGTTGCAGTGAGCCAAGATCTCACCACTGCACTCCAGCCTGGACAAAAAGAATGAAAATCCATCTCAAAAAATAAAAAATAAAAACGTTTCCTGTGTTCCTACTCTACTAAATGAAGCCATTGGTCTATTTTGTTTCTAATATTCTTTGATGGTGTTGTTGGACCTTTTGATTTGCAGATGAAAGAAAGAGAAGTCCCTAAGTAGAAACTACAAGGGCCAAGCAGATTATACCATGTAAGGACATCATCTGTCCCTGGACTCTAAACGGAAGATCATGCAAATAGTGGACTGAAGTCATCCCAGCCTTCAAAAGAGCCACCGTCGGGGGGAAATAACAGAAAGGGATAAAAAGCTGTCTTTCGTAACCCAATCTGTATCTTTCTGTGTGACTTCCCTATCCTGCCTGTCCTAACGCCCTCTCGGCCGTAAACACTCACAGAGTAGAAACAGAGCATAGAAATGAAGAAGAGGAAGAGGGGGAAAAAATGGAGGAAACGCACAAGTTGTGTGTGTCTACAACTAGCAGAGAACAACTCCAACTTGTCTCTGATACAGGTAAATCTCAGACTTGAAAGTGCATTGAGCTGATCAAGTCAATCTGTTTTTTTCTGTCAAATCAAAGTTATACTAGGAAGTTGTCCAAGAGTATAAGGACCAACTTTTCATTGAGATGACCACAATACTATATTTAATCAGCTATCAATAGCATGTATCGGTAAATAAATTTCATTCTGAGCATCTGTTACAAGCTAGGCATTGTGCAAAAATACTGAGGATTCATGAGTGAGCCCACACTGACACGGGGCCTGTGTTTGGAGGGCTTCCAGGCATTGCCATGCAATGAAGGGTGTTAGAGTTCCTGATGGACAGTCAACTAAGTGAGCTAATGTTTATTGCATGTCTTTCTTCAGACACAAGCCCATGTCTGTTGTTGTGGGCCTGCCCTGGGAAGACAGAAAATTCTTGACTTTCAGAAGGTTACTTCCCTCTTTTGTATTTTTATTTATTTATTTATTTATTTATTTGGGGGAAAGGGTCTCACTCTGTCACCCATGCTGGAGTCCAGTGGCATGATCATGGCTCACTGCAGTCTCGAGCTCCCAGGCTCAAGCAATCCTCCCACCGTAGCCTCCCGCGTAGCTGAGACCACAGGTGTGTGCCATCACACTCAGCTAATTTTTTGAATTTTTGGTAGAAATGGGATCTCACCATGTTGCCTAGGCTGGTCTTGAATGCTTAATCTCAAGCCATCCTCCTGCCTTGGCTTTTTAAAGTGCTGGGATTTCAGGCATGAGCCACTGTGCCTGGCCTATTATTCTCTTCTTTTACTTTTTTGGTTTTTTTTTTTCTCTTGATGGATTTTCTCTTGAGATGGAGTCTTGCTCTCTCATTCAGGCTGGAGTACAGTGGTGCAATCATGGCTCACTGCAGCCTTGATATCCCTGGGCTCAAGCAATCCTCCTGCCTCAGACTTCTGAATAGCTGGGACTACAGGCGCACACCACCATACCAGGCTGATTTTTTGTACGCCATCATAGCTCACTATAGCCTGCAACTCCTGGGCTCAACTGATCCTCCTACTTCAGTCTTCTAAGCAGCTAGGAGTACAGACACACACCACCATGCCCAGCTGATTTTTTATTTTTTGTAGAGATGGGGGAGGTCTCACTTGGTTGCCCAGGTTGATCTTGAACTCCTGGTTTCAAGCAGTCCTCCTGCCTTCGTCTCCTAAAGTCTTGGGATTACAGGTGTTAGCCACTGTGCCCAGCCACAAGGTTTTTTCTTGATTTGAGGCCAAGATCCCAAGAGACCCTCTTTCTTTTTCTCTTTTCCAGCTGGAGGAAGGGATGCAACAAACTCAGGAACCAGAATGCCTTGCACAAGAAACAAGACAGAGGGAAGCTTCTGGAGGATAGAGAGCTTCAGCACATTAAGAAACAGACTCATTGGGCAGGACTTCTGATCCCTGCCGTGAACAATGATGTGGATATGCTGCCAGAAAGCTGCAGGTATGAACTGTTTCCATGCTGCCAACTACCTGAAATGAGCACTTGAAAACTATGTTTTCTATCACAATCTGAAGGAATTTCTTCTGCTTTGAAAACAAGTGTCCCAGAGTAACTTGGGACACACACCCTTGATTGTGTGACCAACTTACCTAAAGCAAAAATTCAAGGAAGAACTGCTTCATTATGAATGGGTCATTCATACAATCCATTCTCTCGTTCACTTGTGGATCACGACATAAGCTGTTCATCAGGCTCTGTGCGTGCTTAGGGACGGTTGTCTTGGAAGCGGTGAGCCTCTCGGGCCTCCAGCACAGCCAGGTGTCCCCTCCACCCCTCCATTGCCTGTTGGAAAAGGAGGGTGACTATCACTGAGGCAGCAGGCAAATACATTCCCCCTAGCCCCACCCCAGCCATCTGCGCAGGGACATTTGATCAAGATGAACTGATTTGCATCTAGGATGTGGTCAAGAATCATGAGATTAGCCTGGGCTTTCCGCCCTTCTGATCCCTCATCCGGTTTTTTGTTTTTTGTTTTTTTTGGATATAGGGTCTTGCTCTGTCACCCAGGCTGAAATGCAGTGGTGCTACCATGGCTCACTGCAGCCTCCACCCCTCAGGCTCAAGCAATCCTCCTACCTCAGCCTCCTGAACAGCTGGGACTACAGGCACATGCCACCTCATCTGGCTAATTTTTATCAATTTTTTTGTAGAGATGGGTGTCTCACTATGTTGTCAGGCTGGTCTTGAACTTGTGGGCTCAGGCGACCCTCCCGCCACGGCCCTTTACTTTCTGGAGTTCAAAAAAACTGTTCCCTGGATTTCTAGTGTACTTTTAGGTATCTTTATTGCTTCCTAGTTCTGCTTAGTTAATGATGGAAAAAGAAAGTTTTTGAAGACTAGATATCTTGAATAAAAGACATCCTTCATTCTTTTAAAAACAATGCAGTTTAATAGCAAAGAGAAATATCCCCGAGAAAAAATGAACTAGCTGCAGCATCTGGCCTGTTCTGTGTTCTGGAATGCCAGGGGTGGGCGATACAATTTTGTTTAGCTCCATTTGAAATAGGCATTGTGTTGGAGAGGGACCTTCAGAACAATTTTTTTTCTTTTCTTTTTGAGATAGTGTCTGGGTCTGTCACCCAGGCTGGAGTGCAGTGGCACAATCAGGGCTCACTGCAGCTTTGACCTCTTGGGCTCAGGTGATCCTCCCACCTCAGCCTCCTGAGTAGCTGGGACTACAGGTGCACACTACCATACCAAGCTAGTGTTTGTATTTTCAGTAGAGACAGGGTTTCCCCATGTTGCCCAGGCAGGTCTGGAACTCCTCAGATCAAGCAATCCACCTGCTTTGACCTCCCAAGTGCTGGGATTACAGGCACGAGCCACTGCACCAGGCCCAGAACAAATTCAGTGAGACTACAGACTTCAACATTTATAAATAACAGCTGCTTTCTTGTCTTGTCAAAGGCTTTGATCAAACAAATCAAATCAAAACAAAGAACACTTACCCTCTTCAGTTTTTCTTAACTTACTTATTTGTAAATATCTCCTTTGCTATACAAAGCTAAGGAGTCAAAAATCTCCTTATCCTTTGAACCTAAGACAGACCTTACCAACTGACTGATTGGATGACACTCTTAAGGACTATGGCTGTTATTTTAATCATCTTTCATGAGAGATGCCAGGAGGAAATGTTTCTACGTTGATTAGGGGCGTGTGCCTTAATACATTGTACACTGTCACCTGAGAGCTTCAAAACTGGAAAAATTGAAATCACATGGAAAAAAGGGTTTTTGGAATTCATGCAGTAGCATTAATGTACTGTTCAAAATACGGCACCCTCACCCACTTAGCTGAATGATCTTGGACCAGCAATACACCCCTCTATGCTCCATGTTCTCCTCTGAAAATTGGAATCCCTCATCTGGCTGTGGGGAGGATTCATTGGATTGCCAGATGTAAACTATTAGCATCGTGCCTGGCACTCAGTGAAAGGAGGATGAATATTCACCATTGTTATTGACATACCCACATCAGTAACAATAACAAATTTGGAGTAAGGTTCAGGGGCTGTATCATTCCTTTGTTTTCCGGTCAACATGGAAGCTGACCATCTACTGCAGTTCCTTCCAAACATGAAGTGTAAAGAGTGCATGTGTATAACTCAGTCAGAATAGCCCTCAGTGCGATTGTCCAGAATAGAATACTGTGCTCTGGGGGCTCACACCTGTAGTCCCAGCACTTTGAGAGGTCAAGGAGAGCAGATCACCTCGGGGCAGGAGTTCAAGACCAGCCTGGCCAACATAGCAAAACCCATCTCTAATAAAAATGCAAAAAATTAACTGGGTATGGTGGCAGGCGCCTGTAGTCCCAGCTACTCTGGAGAATTGCTTGAACCTGGGAGGTGGAGGTTGCAGTGAGCCGAGATGGTGCCATTGCATTCTAGCCTGGGTGACAAAAGAAGACTTTGTCTAGAAAAACAAGAATACTGACTTCTAGCCCGGTTTTCTTTCTGCTGCTCCCCAGAGAAAGCATGTAGCTCAGCTTATTGTTTAGAATATTTATCCTCTATACAGCAAAGGAATTTATTTTAGAACAAGTCAATGAGCTCTTTGAGAGATTAATAATGCTGCATAAATAAATTCAGATCATCGGGCAATTCAACAGTGAAGATCTTCCTCAAAAAGATGAAATCAGTTACTCCCATATCCCTTAATTTTTTTCAGATGTTTCTTAGATCTAAGAATACTTTCTACAGTTAACAGTATGCCATACACTGCATTTGAGATGTCATCGCTGACACACTTATGGTATGGTTTTGAACACATTTTTTTCATCATAAGAAATAACTGACAAAAATAGGCTCCTAGAATTTTTTGCGTGTCTCTTTCCAAGAGACTATAATAGCGTAGGCAATAATGTCTTCATTTACATGAGCCACATCAAACTATGTTGTAGTTCATCATTTATTTATGGAATGTGAGTTGATCGTTCTGGAATCTAAATAGGCAAAATGTATTTGGTGATTCTGAAATAAAGTATTAAATTTTAGCACAATCATGGTCTATACTCAGAATAGGATGGACTAGTCATGAACAAGTTAACTCTAACATTGCAGACTGGGCAATTCTAAACAATGTTTATTTCAGTACAGTCAGTTCTCTTTATTTGCAGTATTTACGTTTTATAAAGTTGCCGTGAACACTGAATGAGCAAATATCGAACAATTGCTTCTAGGAGAAATACAGCATTAGGTTCTTACAAGCCTCTGGCCAAAAAGTGCTTTTGTCAATCAAGCAATACAGAACTTTGTTTTATGTATGTTTTTATTTAAAGATACCTAATTTAATATATCTTTTTTATTAACACTGAACTCGTGGCCAACGCAACTATAACTCATGTGGAAATGATGCTTAACACACACACACACATTTTCTCCATAAGGCACATCATAGCCTTCTTGTGCAAGAACATTACACAGTCTGTCAGCACTCTGCCTGGGAGCCATTTTAAACAGTGGAGTTGTTACTGGCGATGAATCTGTATCTGCAGAGGGTCTGCAGCAACCTCAATTCTTGCCTCCTCAGAAGAAAGATTTCAACTAAGGGGCATAAGGCAGAAGGAGAGGCTCTGCCTTCCCCAGCCCACTGACTCAAATTTTAATCTCTTTTGGCAACACCCTCACAGACACACCCAGGATCAATACCGAGCCTCAAATCTGCTAAGATTGCCCTGAGTGAGAGTTTTACCTCCTGTAGAGAAAGAGCTGGAATTCTGGAAAAACAGACACAAGCTCTTATCATGCAAGTGGCTGACCTGCAATGAAAGGTGCATGCGCAGCCTTGCCAGGTGTCTACTGTTACCGTGAGGGCATCGATTGGAAAAGAATGGGACCCTGCAACTTGGAATGGGGATGTGTGGGAGGACACTTCATCTCGTGGGCACAATCTCATCAGCTGCTGGCTATTAAAGCAGGCAGAAAAACGTGAAACGGAGAGACGGACCTAGCCTCCCAGCCTACATCTTTCTCTCGTGCTGGATGCTTCCTGCCCTCGTACGTCGGACTCCAAGTTCTTCAGTTTTGAGACTCAGACTGGCTCTCCTTGCTCCTCAGCTTGCAGACAGCCTATTGCAGGACCCTGTGATCATGTAAGTTAATACTTAATCAAATATATATATATATATTTATATATAGTTCTGTCCCTCTAGGGAACCGTCACTAATACAGAAGGTCATATAGCAGTTAAACTCTGCCATCTTGTCTTATGGTCATGCTTGAGCCCACTCACCCAACTCCTGAGATCTTATCCAGAAGCTGCTGAGCACCACCTTCAGGTGTTGTCTATCTATTGGGAGCCTGCCCTTCCCTGGCTCTGGCTGAGACCAATTATTATTTTAGAGAGACAATTAACAACTGCAGAACCATCACCTGATGGTTGCCGGACACTCCCGGTGTGTGTTGAGGGGCGCCGCAGGGGAGCTCTCTCCTGCCCTGCTCGTGCCTGACTAACTACTATAAAAAAAATCAACAAAAAGCACAAAATGCAAAACGTATAGTACTGAATTTACCATGAAAGGATACCTATCTACAGGTGTGAGCTGAAACAAGAAGGCAGGGTGTGGTTTCCTTGTACATTGCTGGGAACACACACATCAGGCAGCACACATTTTTCACCGCTGTGTGCATATCCACAAATGACCATGAAAGTGCCATAAATGTCACTCTTGAGGCTACAGATTTCAGTAAGTGAATTCACAAATAGAGAATCCATGAATAATGAGAATTAATTATATTTCAACTGTCAGGGAATAATAAGTAAATGCCACCTGGGGGTGGGTGAGGTGAAGAAAAGTTCTTGGAATTTTGTGGCCGTCAAAAGATTTCTTTATTCATTGAGAATATTGAGGGCCGGGCATGGTGGCTCACTCCTGTAATCCCAGCACTTTGGGGAGGCTAAGGCGGGTGGATCACCTGAGGTCAGGAGTTCGAGACGAGACTGGCCAACATGGTGAAAACCCCTCTCTACTAAAAATACAAAAATTATCTGGGCGTAGTGACGTGCACCTGTAATCCCAGCTACTCAGGAGGCTGAGGTGGCAGAATCACTTGAACCCGGGAGGCGGAGGTTGCAGCGACCCGAGATAGTGCCACTGCACTCCAGCCTCGGTGACAGAGTGAGACTCAGTCTTAAAAACAAAAAAAGAATATTGAGGATGTGTTGCATATTGAACGGTGTACCAGGCAATCTGGGCGCCAGAGAAAAGCAGTTCTAGTCCTGTCTCATCTTAATGGACGAGTAAGGCACAGACATATGAAAATAAGCAGTGACTTAGGAACACCGTATATTATACTCAACAAATAGAAGACAGCATAGTAAAAACCTGTGTACCTGGGTGATGATGAAGAAATCGACCTTGAGGCAATCAGAAAAGTTGAACATTAATTAGGAAAGACTGTGGAGTAGTGTGGGTTTGAGCTGAGTGTTCTCTTTCTTGTTTGGTTTGGTTTTGCTTTAAATCAGCCATGATATCCAAAATGAATGTGATTTGCAAGAGAAGGGGGAATAGTTAAT